GTCTCTTCTTAAAAACTTCCAGTGTTGGAGCATTCACCACTTCTGGAGGCAGGTTGTTCCACTGGTTAATTGTTCTAACTGTCAGGAAGTTTCTCCTTAGTTCTAGGTTGCTTCTCTCCTTGATTAGTTTCCATCTGTTGCTTCTTGTCCTGCCTTCAGGCGCCTTGGAAAATAGCTTGACTCCCTCTTCTTTGTGGCAACCCCTGAGATATTGGAACATTGCTATCATGTCCCCCCTCGTCCTTCTCTTCATTAAACTAAACATACCCAATTCCATCAACCTTTCCTTATATGCTTTAGCCTCCAGTCCCCTAATCATCTTTGTTGCTCTTCTCTGTACTCTTTCTAGAGTCTCAACATCTTTTTTACATCGTGGTGACCAAAACTGGATGCAGTATTCCAAGTGTGGCCTTACCAAGGCATTGTAAAGTGGTATTAATACTTCACGTGATCCTGATTCTATCCCTCTGTTAATGCAGCCCAGCACTGTGTTGGCCTTTTTGGCAGCTGCAGCACACTGCTGGCTCATATTTAAGTGATTGTCCACTAGGACTCCGAGGTCCCTCTCACAGTTACTACTATTGAACAAGGTACCCCCTATACTATACCTGTAGATTTGGTTTTTCTTGCCTAGATACTTTAAGTACAGTCACAGATCATTCCAATGGGGTGAGAGAAAAGGAAAGGAGCTTAAACTATTATGGATGTTTGTGGAGATTTGACACGTGTAGGAAATAAGACAAAGGATGAAATCAACAAGTGAGTGTGCCAGCAAGTAGCTATTACCAGTACCTACAGAAAAAAAAGTTAGAAAAGCTAATAGAAAAAAGGAAGTTAAGCTTACAAAGAAATCTCTAAGCAACAAAAGAGCTTTCGGGGTAGCAGTAAAAGAAAGCAAAAGGGATGGTAACAGGTTTAAAAAATGGTAGGATACTAACAGATTATAAGGAAAGAATATAATACCCACAAATCTCCTTTTCATGAATCAAAACCAAGTCAAATATATAAAAGTAATAAACCTGCAAAGAGGTTTTTGTTTATTTGTTTGTTATGGGGTGAGGAGAAATTTAACCATTTCTCTGTAAGGGCCTTCCAAATAAATCAGGAAAGTTCATCAGACTGATGAGCAAAAGAAACAGATCCTCTTTTGAGGTGACTCATCATTACAAAATGTTTTGGGTCAAAGTTTGCCTGACCCACTTGTAGACTTGTAAATTGCTTTTAAAGAAGCTCTGAAGGTTTAGTTCTCAGGTTGGGGGGACAGGGTTGGTAATTTTCTTCAATTTTGCTTCTATTTAGAAATTGTAATTTAAAATGATTGGCTGCTAATCTTTCATACTATATTTTTCACTAAAAACTTTAAGTTTGTTATGATTTTGTATTCTAGTCTTATTTTCTATTTTGTTTTATAATATTTTTTTTTAAGTGTGAAATGCCTTGGCGTGCCAATATAGACCTGAAAACAAAGCATATCAAGATTTAAATGAATAGTTATTTCTCTCCCTCGCTATGCTTCCAACAAAAATAATCTCTCCAAATCTGCTACCTGAATGTCAAGAGAAATTTGCACCTGCCTAAGAAAGTTAAAATTCCCTTCCACGCTGACCTTTGCAGTCTTAGCATTAATCAGGCTTAGTTGTCATTTACATAGCATACTCTTCCCATCGACCAGTGTGAATATTATGAATTATTATTCACATAAATAGTTTGGTCCTAAGAAAGAATTCTAACCAGAGTTGCTCATTCCAGGAAATAGACATCAAAAAGGATGCAAGAAAAAAGAAAGTCAAAAGGGCAACACCAATGTGTGAATGATGATTCACACCTGATTTCCATGTGGGGTCACACCACCAAACACACCTCCTCAACACACCTGATCCAGGGATGTATGATTCATTCACATGTTGGAGAACACTTTTAAGTCTGCCTCTTTTAAGACTTCCACCCAAAATGATTCCATTTAGGGCCATTCCGCAGTTGCAATCCACAATGGTACGAACATCTTTCAGCCATAGGCCCATGAGCTTGCCTTCATCTCCTCTCCAACCCATGAATGGGATACACTTGAATCATCTGTGGGATATTGGCTAACACTGTGAAAGAGTCAAGCAATAGGACTAGGGAGCAACTGAAGAAAAGGGGGCTCAGTGTGTGTGTGGGGGTCTTCCTCTTGCATCTATCAGTGACCTTTTAAAAAGCTGCTTCTTTTTCAGGGCTTTCACAGCCTGACACAGCTCCAGGAAAGGACATGTTTGGTTTAAGGAGGTACTGAGAAAAATGATGTGTGTGCCCATGCACACTCAGAATTTCCCCTTCAAATCTGGTATGTTGCACAAAAGTAAAAGTAGAAGGGGTGCTTTCTCCAGTACAGTCCAAGGATGACCTTGACATTTATAAAAACATTGTTACCCATTGCTTCGGAAGGAAGTCAGGGTGCCCACAGGGCCTGGGAATAGAGGCAACAGAAGCAGGCAGGGATTGGCAATGAGGACAGTAATTATCATGCTGGTAGAGTATTCTGCCAACTTAAAAGGGATGGATGACTCTTCAACTAGAGAGTAGGAAAAGGTTCATAGGCACAATTCTGGGTGATACAACGAGAACAATCAAACATGCCACTTTATTGCCTCAGACTTTTAAGGAATCTTATTTCTGATTTATTTTAAACAATAAAGCCTAGAAAATAGACCTTTTAAATTAATTGGACATGAGTTTGAAACTTCATTTTGTGTTAAGTTATAAGGCACAATGTTGATGATATAGTGATTGGATTTATGCATTATGCTTAGGCATAATGTGGCTTGTTGGGCTTTGACTTAGCCAGTTTTATAAATGCAAGCATTTTGGTTTGTAGGCCATGATTAATTATAACCTAGTGCATTTTATTATGGTTTATTCAAAGAGCCACTCTTAAATGTACCTTACCATAGTAAAATGCATGAAACTGCCATTTATAATAGAACATAGTTTATGTCTTAGATGAACTTAACCAAGTTAAGTAAAGAAAGGTTAAATTCAAGCTCTGTATCAAAGCTGTTTTAGGTAATCCAGCTAAAGTATTTGATTTTTAACAAACTCTGTTGCATTAGATTAGACTGAACTTGGTGTCTCAAATCTAGGTGATTAGTAGATGGCAGCAAGAATTTATTGGACCTCTGTTTTGGCATCTAATGATAATCTTGATTTTGTAGCCCAGACAGGTAGCATAACTCAGTTAATTAGAATGGTAGTTCCCAATCATCCCTGCATCACTGGATTGCTAAAAAAAAAAAAAAGTCAATCATGGGAGCTGTGTTGTCTTGCTATGTTTTGTTATTTTCATATTTACCTTAAATTTTGTAGTATTTCACCTATGTATCAGAAATCCACTCAAAAACCATCAGGGTCATAAGTCAAAGCACCCAGGGACTTCAGGTCTTGCGCAGTAGTGCAGCAGCCAAGAGATTTCAGGGCTCCGTTCCCTTTGGCTGAATTTCTTCCTGTTAGGGACCCTAAATGGGCCAGAAGCCACCCCAAAGAGGCGCCAAAGAAGGAAGGAAGTCCCGCAGACCATGGAGAGATGGCAGTCAACCTGATCGGTCCAGGAGAAGCCTTCCAGAAACCAACAGGAGAAAGGCTAGCCTAACTTCAGAGTCTAGCTCAAGCTACAAGCAACCGAAGTCAAAAAGCACTATTTTAAGCTGATTATAAACAGCACATTTGAATCTAGGTAAGATCATCTATTTTATCTATCCTACTTATTAACTTTCCTGGGGGAAAAAATTCCTAAGAACCAAAAAAGCTCTGAATGTGAAGGAAGGGGATTTTTGCCCCAACCTTTTACTAATGGAAGCAGTGAATTAAACCTTTTATGGAGGACCAAAACATACAGAAATGAAATTAAA